ATCTTTGGTTATAATGAAACAAAGTCCATACTGCTTTCATGATAGAAGTCCATACTAATATAATGCTATAACCATATAGTTAAAGAGAGCTGATCATTAGTTCTTTTACTCATTCCACAGTTAAAGAAAGTGTTTCATTCATTATAATCAAACACTAAATAACGTAACATTCAGTATTATATTTTCATATATGATTTTTAAACTAAAAAATCAAGGCAAGCCAGCAATGAAATCATAATTGTTATCTATAATTAGAAAGTGATTTTGCTATTTTAAAGGCAGATTTTAATTAGTAAATGAGGGATACCATTTCCTGTATGTTCTTCATTGCTTTAGTTGACATATGCATTGACTGTATATGTGTTATTCATTGGTTAGTTATTGTAGTAGATCTATTCATTAATTGTATTAGTTATACAGAGTATAAAACGTTTTGTATTATGTATAAACAATAGAAGTGTGTATAAAACGTTTTTCTATCATGCATATAATATGTCGTCTTCTTTTTTATCGATATTGATTCTTTTAGGATTTTAACTTATTATTTCTATATTGAAATTCAATTCTAAGAAAGAAAATAACTTATTTGTATTCATTATCTGGTTAATTTCCATTGACAACCAATTTTCCTTTTTATCTTCATTAATCCATTTGTATTCATCCCTATTTTGTTTTTATTCTAAGAAAAAATTCTTTCTTATTTGTAAAGATGAGTCGAAGCTGGATGTACGGTAAACGGAACACATTGGAATTTATGAATGGGGTAGCTGAGTTTTGTAAACGTGGTTTAGAATATAGATCGTTGACTGGTTGTGATGAGTTATATTGTCCTTGTGTGGATTGTGCCAACGTAAATTCATTTCGGTCAATAGAGACAATCAGGGAACATTTAATTCGCCGTGGATTTAGACAGCAATACTATGTATGGGTATGGCATGGTGAGAAAGGAGTGTATACAGAAGATCTACTAGGTGCAAATGAGATGCCAAATGTCACAAGTGAGACACATTATGATGCTGAGGGTGAGAATAATGAGGACATTAAAACTGAAGGTGAAAGTGAAGATGAAAATGAGGATGAGGATGTGAGCGATAAAGTAGATCAGATGGATGAGATGATGGACGGAGTCAAAGATTATTGTGGTGGTCGGCCACGTATTTTTGAAAGTTTGTCAAAAGCAGCAGAAAAACCATTATACCCTAGGTGTACAAAATACACAAAGTTGTCTGCTGTGATGACACTTTATAATGTGAAAGCCAAGAATAATTGGAGCGACTCAAGCTTCACATCCTTGTTGGAAGTATTACATGACATGCTTCCCGACGAAAATGAAATGCCAAAGTCAAATTATTATGCGAAGAAGCTCATGTGCCCTTTGGGTTTAGAGTACAAAAAGATTGACGCATGTCCGAATGATTGTGTGTTGTACCGAAATGAATACCGCATGTTGAACAAGTGCCCACAGTGTGGTAAGTCACGGTACAAGCGTGATGGCGTTGACTCAAACAGTGATAAGAAAGGGCCACCGGCCAAAGTGTTGTGGTATCTTCCAATAATTCCGAGGTTGAAACGTCTTTTTTCAATAAAGGCAAATGCTAAATATTTGAGGTGGCATGGTGAGCAGCGCAAGAAAGATGGAATGCTTAGACACCCAGCCGACTCGCCCCAATGGAAAACTATTGATGAATCATTTCCAGATTTCGGCAAGGAAGTGCGGAATCTGAGACTAGCTCTATGTACGGATGGAATGAATCCATATGGCAGCTTCAGTAGTCAACATAGTACATGGCCGGTTCTTTTGGTTATATATAACCTACCACCATGGTTGTGCATGAAGCGCAAGTATATGATGTTGTCACTTTTAATATCTGGGCCTAAAATGCCCGGGAATGACATTGATGTCTATCTTGCTCCTCTCATTGATGATTTGAAAACGTTGTGGGATGAAGGAGTTTCAGTCTTTGATGCACATACTCAGGAGTACTTCAAATTGCGTGCCATGCTGTTTTGCACAATAAATGATTTTCCTGCATATGGGGATTTATCTGGATATAAAGTGAAAGGAAAGAAACCATGTCCGATTTGTGATGATGATATGGACTCCACATATCTGCCTCATTGGGGGAAATATGTTTATATGAAGACTCGAAGGTTTCTTCCTCGATATCACCCTTATCGTAAAAAGAAAAAATCATTTGATGGAGAAACTGAGTTGAGATCTGCTCCTAGACCCTTGACTGGAAGGGAAGTTTATGAACGTCAGAAGGGTGTTGTCCATGTTTTTGGTAAAACCAAAAAGGAAAAAGAGTCAAATTCACTGTGGAAAAAGGAGTCCATATTTTGGAAGCTTCCTTATTGGCAAAACTTGCCAGTGAGACATTGTCTTGATGTGATGCACATTGAGAAGAATGTATGTGATGCTATAATTGGAACTTTGTTGAACATTTCAACAAAGACAAAAGATGGCATACAAGTGCGGAGAGACATGCAGGAAATGAAAATTCGACCAGAGTTGTGGGTGCAAGATAAGATCACCAAGGGGAAAAAGAAGTCCACATTTACTTTACCTCCCGCTTGTTATACCTTGTCTGTAGCTGAAAAACGAATCTTTTGTGAGTGTCTTTCCAATATCAAAGTTCCTACAGGATACTCATCAAATATAAAAAAGCTTGTCTCCACAAGTGGTGTGAAGTTGGTTGGTATGAAATCTCATGATTGTCATGTTATGATGCAAGTCTTCTTGCCCATTGCAATTCGTGCTATCTTGCCAAAACATGTTAGAGTTGCCATCACAAGACTTTGTGCATTTTTTAATACAATATGCAATAAGGTTCTTGACCCAGAGGCATTGGATGAGTTACAAGCTGATGTTATTGTAACACTATGTCAATTTGAAATGTTTTTCCCACCTTCATTCTTTGACGTAATGGTCCATCTAATAGTTCATTTGGTTCGAGAAATCAAGATGTGTGGTCCAGTATTCTTAAGGTGGGCGTACCCATTTGAGAGACAAATGGCTACATTGAAAAGTAAAGTGCGGAATCCTTCTCGCCCTGAAGGTTGTATCATCCAAGGGACTATAACTGAGGAAGTTAGTGAGTTCTGTGCTGAGTACATATCCAACACGCAACCTATTGGGCTCCCCAAATCCCGACACGAAGGAAGACTTGAAGGTAAAGGAACAATTGGTGCCAAAGAAATCTTACCTTCTACGGAGAAGCAAAATAAAGCTCATTTGTTTGTGTTGCAACACCTTTCTGAGGTTCATCCATATATTGAACATCATTTGCGTGAGTTGGCCTTGAAGTGTCCATCGAAAGGTGAAAGGGCATTGATGCAAGATCATAATCGCACATTTGTCAGTTGGTTTAATGCTCGCGTTATGCAACAATTGGAAGCCACAGACAATAATGTCTCATCTACAATAAAGTGGCTAGCATATGGTCCTCGGGAGAGTGTATATTCTTATGAAGGTTATGACATTAATGGATTTACCTTTTACACTCAACGTCAAGATAACAAGTCATCAGTGCAGAACAGTGGAGTTACAGTGATGGCATCATCTAGAGAATATGCAAGTGCTAAAGATAAATCTCCTATAGATGCAAGGTTGTCTTACTATGGGATCATACAAGAAATTTGGGAACTTCACTATACTGGTTTTCATGTTCCCATGTTTCGATGTAAGTGGGTAGAAAACAACCGACGTGGTGTTAAAACGGATGATTGCGGGTTCACTCTAGTTGACTCGAGTCGTTTTCGCGACAGTGATGAGCCATTCATACTTGCATCACAAGTTAAACAAGTTTTCTATGTACCAGACCCTGTTGACGACAAATGGTGTGTTGTTGTTCCGGGGAAGAGGAAGATTTTAGGCATTGGTGATGTTGATGATGAGGATGAGTATGATCAACATGAAGACACTCCTCCTTTTTCTGTTCCTGCGCTTTTACTAGGAGAAGAGAAAGATATTGATGGCCAATATATGCGTTCAGATCATCAAGAAGGAATAGAAGTGAAGGGATAAAGGGTACATAAAATTTTAGAGTTTATTATTACTGCAATGATTTATATGTAATTGTGTATATCTATACAATGAGTGTTAATATATGAATGTATTTATCATTTTCTTTGTATTTTACATAATGTGTTTTTATATTTCGCAGGTAGGCATTATGCACATCATGTCCGATGATGACGATGATTTTATTATGGAAGACCATTCAGATGATGGAGAGGAAGTTCATGAGGATGCTATGTCACGACGTATTTCTGAGTTTGAAAAAGAGGCTGACCTTAGAATAGACTTGGAGGAGGCGGGGTATTCATTGGAACAAATTGAAAAAACAATGCAGAAAAGAAGAAAAAAGAAGGATGTTGTCAAGAAATCTGGGAGGGGGGCATTTAAAGGGCTAAAAGTAACTGAGCCCATGTTTTTACAATTTGATGCATTTGGGCGTGCATCTGGTAAGTGGAGAGCAAAATTTGGGCAACATGTTGGCTTATGTTGTCGCAAATTGGACATTAATTGGAGGTGGTCTGACGTTCCTAATGGCTTGAGAGATACTATTTGGGAAGACACCAGGGTAAGCATTTGAATTGAAATAATTTATATTTATATTTTTAATTACTAACAATAACTTGTTTTATGCTTACAGAATTTGTTTCATCTTAATGACGCTCCTGAGATTAAGAATCTCGTTTTATCTACGGTGGCATGTCGCTTCAGAGATTTCAAGGCAAAATTAGTTTCAGGATGGATCACTTGTGTTAGAAAGCGAACAAAAAGAGAAGATGGGAAACTTCCTCCAGAAATATGGCGTCATATCACAAAAGATAGTTGGGAAGAGTTTAAGAGGCGGAAGATGACTCCAGAGGCTGAGGTAATTTTTAAACACTTGTATCCTAAAGTATTTGTACATGAATTATAAACTAAACTTTAATTTTAATAGGAACTAAGGAAAAAGAAATCAGATAGCGCTTCACAAAACCAACATCATCATCATATGGGGCAAAGGAATTATGAAGACAGCAGAGCTATATGGATTGATGAAGGGTTCTATCCTATTGCTAGCACAGATTCTTCATCGGTTGGGTCTAGTGCTACACAGTTTAATAGAGGTGATGATTGGTATTGTGCCATGCATGGCCGTGATAAAGAAGGAAACCGAGTTATTCCAGATAAGCGTACACAGGAAGTAGCTGAGAAATATGTAAGAATAGTAATACTCCCTCCGTCCCAAAATTGAGTTGCATTTTTTTTTGAGTGAAACAAATTAATTTTATTCACTTAATTAGGAAAGCAATTCTTAATTACATTTTAATTTTAATTGCTCAACTTTACAAAGATTTTAATTATGTAAAGTAATTATTAAAATTGAATTATCTATCAATGAAGAAGATTTAATTTTTTTATAAGTTGACCGAAAAATGTTGACTTTGCAAAATAATTGGGGACACAGGTAGTATCATTTGTATAGTTTCATTTGTATTAATAAGGTCACCATGCATTTAATACATTTGTAACAGGTTGAGTATAAGAACAAACAGAAAGTGGGTGAATTTGTTCCTCAACGCAATAAAGATGCTTTGTATTACGCTCGTGGAGAGAAGGCGGATCACTCTGGCCGTGTTGTTGGATGCGGTGGCGTTAATGTTGGATATTCAAAAGCTTTTGGTAAAAGAATGAGCGGATCACAGTGTTCATCACAAAACATTGAGTCCTTAAAGGCCTCAATAAGTGAAGAACTTAGGGGAGAGATGAATGACACAATGAAACAGAACATGATTACCATCCTGAACGAAATGGGTATTACAGGTTTTGCTGGTTTATCTGGTGGTGCCTCTGTTCCGACGCCCACAACATCAACAAATCATGCACCCCATCCATTTCCGAATGATGAAATGCAGGTATTTTAGTCATCAATTTTAATTATCAATTATTTGTCATGTTTTAAGTTGTGTTGTAAAAACCCGGTCAACTTTTTATATAAGTTTACAATAATAAACATATATTAGTATCTATCTATAAAAAATACAAAAATAATTATTTTTCAGTCTAATAAAATAATTATTATAACACTTTGTAAGAAATTTTGTTATATACGATAGACTGCTAGTACAAAAATTGAGGAACATCCATAGCTCATATAGGAAAGAACAGATAATTAAAAATTGAGGAACATCCACTAAGGCACTAACTAATGTACGAAGTATAATTTTGTTTAGGATATAACTATAAAAAAAACTATGGAGTAATAGAAAAGATATTAAAGGGGTTAAGGAACATTAAATAACAAAAAAATTCTGGGGTAAAGGTTTTAATGCAATGTTTTAAATGATATATAGAGTCCAAGAGTATGTCGTTTATTCCTCGATGATATTGGGACTGGACAATTGGTTGAGGTTGGTGGTGGCACATCATTTCCATCTGGACCTGGAGTAAAGTGCCATCACTTGCCAATTATGGAAGGTCACCTAAAGGTGAGTTTAGACACCATTTTGGAGCAGTATGTGAGTGCACCACTTCCTGTACCTGTTTCCTCCATCAATCTGTTTACATTAGGCGACGCTCAAGGAACTTTTGTGCAATGGCCAGCTTCTTGGGTGAAATTTACAAGTGAGGTAATAATTATAATCGGTATATATGTATATATGTATTTCTATGTGTGTGTATGTGTATATAAGCTTCATAAAATATTCGATTGAGTTATGTGAAATGTTACTATATGTAGGAGGCAAGTAATAAATCATCAAAGGGAAAGAAGAAATTAGACATCCATAAAAAGGCAGCCAAACAACGATCTCTAGTGTCTGAACAAGTTCTAGTGTCACTTAGTAGAGATTGTAAATGGTTGCACTCGTTGATAGCATCCCGGTCTAGCTATGATCCCATTGATGTTACACTAGATGCTTCTATGTTCCATTATGAATCTGATGATGGTCATGTGTATCTTACTGTGGAGGACATCACTCAGTTTTTGTCTGGTGCAATGCTTAATATTTCCATTATTCAAGTATTTGTGATGTATGATCTTGAAACTATATGACTGATTACAAGAGTATTTAGTTTATGCTAGAGTTTGAACTCATTTTTATGTATACAGAGCAATGCAGGATTATCTACAGGGTTTGGATACACAAGCACAACTTGGATGGATGTGTCCCGATTCAATTTGTGCAACTACATGTGAAAATAACCCTGAAGATGTGAAAGATTACATACACCGAGCCATCACTGAATCTCAGAATGCCGGCGTAGATATTCTTGTTGCTCCTTATTATGAAAAGTATGCATTTCTATTTATTATATCAAGTTGATTTATTATATTTAAAATATCAATGATATATCAATTTGATTTTGTAGCTATAACACAATGTACATCACAGCTATCATTGGGTTTTGCTTGTGATTTGGATCTCACGCGGCATGATCTTTGTGTATGATTCTCTTCGAACTAGCTCAATGCGTCGTTTATTAATCATGTCATTGTGCAGCAGGTAATTGTATAGTATTTTTTTCACAACAGTGAGAATTGTTATTGTATTATGGGAAAACTATCAAATAAGCCCCTGTACTATACCGAAAAAGTCGATTAGGCCCTCGTATTTTACAAACACTCAATTAAGTCCTCGAAGTATTAAAAAACGTTCAATTAAGCCCTTTCGGTCGGTAAGTAACCGGTTTCCCGGTTAAATGTAACCCGTTTCCCGGCAGCCGCCATTGCTAGGGTTCGAGCACATCGTCGCCGTCGTCGCCGTTTAACCGGAAAACCGGTTACTTACCGACCAAAAGGACTTAATTGAATGTTTTTTAATAGTTCGAGGACTTAATTGAGTGTTTGTAAAGTGCGAGGGCCTAATCGACTTTTTCGGCATAGTACGGGGGCTTATTTGATAGTTTCCCCTTGTATTATCTTATAATTTCCAAACTATGTGGTTCTAACTTTGAATGTTTTGTGATAGTGTTTTTAGAAATATTTGCGCGAATGGTGAAAAAGTGAAAAAGATTATTTGGAAACAAATGAAGGTATAAGTATATACATACTTTCGCTAAATATGTTATTAAATTTTTTAATTCTTTTAAGTTGGTAGTGAACATTATGAATAACGAATATGTTATGTGTATAATTTCATATTTCAGTGCGCAAAACAGACAGGCGGCTTGGAGTGTGGATTTTATGTAATGAAATTTATGTATGATGTGATCAGAAGTATCAATGAAGGCCAAGATCTGGAGCAGGTATATTAAAATGCGTACTGATGTCATATGTTAATTTCTTTAATCGAAATTATTTTGTAATATGTTATTCCTTCACAAAAATGGTGATTTTATTTGTTGTCTTTTTTTGCAAGTGCTTTAAGAAAAACTATTCTGAGTTGCCCTTCATTTGAAGCAACTGACCGGGAATGGTTAATTGTACCAGAGAATACCAATATGTTAAACGGGTGACAATTTATTTGGAGATACATGTTAGGAATGAAAACTGCTTAAAAGCAGCAAATGATGAAACCTGTATTTAATTAGTAAACATCAAATTAAAGAGATTATATTATAAATGTGAAAGTGTTATTTTTATCAAAATATATTACAATTTGTGGTTGTACTAATTACAGTTGGTAAATATTTGTAGGTGTACGGAAGCACCTTAAGGGATGAGGCATTTTCAATGGTAGAAATTGATGAGGTCCGAGACAGATGGGCGATATATGTTTGTGATAATTTGTTGTAACACTATAATGTGTGAAGGAATGTATTAACAATATATTTTTGTTGTATTGAATGTGGATCATATTTTTGGATCGTTAGTTTAGTTACAATTCAGGTTTTATGTGAAGGTTTCTGTTTGTTGAATCTCTAAAATTGTCAATTTAGAAAAGTATTGTGAAAATAGGTGCAATTTTATTTTGAATTTAACACTTATTGCTGCGGTTAAGATAGGAAATAAAAAAAATCGTAAATGTATTTGCTGCGGTCATAGAGGAACCGCAGCAATTAGTGTATTCCAAAAAAAAATAACGCCTCTTATTTGCTGCGGTTGTAACCGCAGCAAATAGCAATTTCGCTTTTTTGCTGCTCCGGCTATTGCTGCGGTTCAAAACCGCAGCAAATACATCAAAATAACCGCAGCAATTAATGATTTTTCTAGTAGTGACTATTCACTCCGTAAAACTATAATACTCCGTATGATTTTTATTCCGTATGAAAAACTGAGTGTCACTATCCTATATTGACGTGGTAAAATAACTTAGGATGATACAATAGTGTCATAAATGCCTAGTTAAATGGAGAGTGTCACTAAAATAGTGTCACTGTAAGCACTTTTTTTTAGTAGTGAGATAATGCATAGTTCAAAGTAGCAAAAAAGTTTAATTTATTTACAAAAATTAGAACCGTTCTCATCAAAACCACACCCATATATATGTGTGTGTATATAAATTTTGATTCAAATACAAAGTTTCCTTCCAATGAAAAGTGAGAACAAATATGTTGCACAGAATCTAAGATCTAATAACTCTAAATATGTCAAAAATGCATTAAAGTGAATAAAATTGTATTAATAAGATATTTATTGTAAGAAGTGAGAATGCATCTGGGGCGTTGAATCTGAGATGTAATGGATGTTAGAGTGCAAAATATGTCAAAAGGTGATGAGTGGCGTAGTGGCAATTTCGTAATTAACTCCAACATTTCAGTCATCAGATAACAGTGCATCAGATAAGCGTAAAGTGCAACAAAAAGGGGTTAACGTGAGTCCTCATTTCTCGCGTTAGGAGGTCTTCTTATTAGAACCCAACCATATATTTACAATCAAATGAATATCATGCTTAACGCGAAAACTATGAGAATACAACTTTTAACTCGATATGATACACGATAACATTTGTATGTTACACTTTTTTGGGTTGACGAAATATTTACAAACTTACAACTGTATATATTTGATGTTGTCGTGTTTTGAAAAAGTGTAATATACAAACGTTATAGTGTAGCACATTGAAAATAATTAGACCAAAGTATACTTATAAAACGCAGTTATTCTCAAAATTTTATTTGACTTCCTTCCTCATTGAACTTTTAGTTGAAATTTGGTGGGCATAGGGGTGTTCGTAATTGATTCTACTTCTGCCTCTTTTTAAAAGCAGAATCAGAATGAATTTTTCAGAAGCTGATCTCCCATAGCTTCAAAAAAAATGTTTCTAGGACCATTTTGGAGCGTCCACAAGCTCAATACTTCTATACTTTCACTCAAACACTCTAACATCCGTTTCTGCTCAATGAAGGAGAAATTAATGTGTTCTAATGTTCTCACTTTTATTCTGCACATTGAAACCAAAACCAGAAAAAAGGATAGGCGCAGACACACACACACACACACAGACACACACACACACACACACACAGACACACACACACACACACACACACACACACACACACAGACACACGCACGCACGCAACGCACGCACACGAACACACACACTCACAGCACACCACGCACACTCGCACACCCGTCAACGACACGACTCGCACGCACGCACGACACGCACACACGCACACACGCACACGCACACAGCACACACAGCTCACGCACCTCACGCACAGCACGCGACACGCCACAGCACACGGCACACTACCCGCACAACCCGCCACGCACGCTACACCGCACACACGCCACGCACCACGCACACGCTCACACCCCGCACACACGCACACGCACACACACACCCCACACACCACACACACACCCACACACACACAACGCATAGCGCGCAGCGACCGCACCCACGCGCGCACACGCAACACACACCCCCACACACCCACCACACACACCCACACACACACACACACACGCACCTGCGCGCGCACACACCCACC